ATTCTGCAGTCTGTTCTATGCTTCTGTCTCTTGATCTATTTTGTTCATTAGTTTATTTTGTTCATTATGTTCCACATATGAGTGAGATCATGTGATACTTACCTTTCTCTGACTGGCTTATTTTGCTTAACATGGAGAAATAAACTGTCCTATAAGATTTACTTTCTAGAAAGTTTTGCATTGGCACATCTTTCTACTTGTCAGCTTGGTCCTTTCCGTACTGAAACCTACGCGTAGTTTTCTCTGCGGTGCTCCATCAGTGTCCTTCCTAGCTGTGCTGTCAGGGCCCCGTCCCCGGGGAGTGAAGCCCTTCCTCCGGGGAGCCCCACCGGCAGCGCTGGTGTGTGTGACGTGGTAGGAGTGGGCGGCCCCACTTCCCTCCTTAACTAGTAGCCGTGCCTCCTGCTCCCCAGGTTCCATGAGTTTAATCCTTCCCATGGTCAGGCGGTCAGGGACTTGGGAAACAGACCGTGAACCGCCTTTGAAAGCGCAGTGGCTGAGAGCGATGGAGCCTTGGAAGGCACAAGTCGCAGGTGCTGCCCGCGCACAGCGTGCCCTGTGGCCGAACCTTGCCGCTGCCGGCCGTCCTGGAGGCTCAAGGTCGAGAAGCAGGAATAACTGTCTTCCCGGGATGCACTCCCACCAAATATTATCACCAAATTTCAGCTTTTTAAATCCCTGGTCACGATAAAAACAGGAGAGGTTTGTGTTTGTCTACCCTTAGGATTAGGGGGGTTCATGCTCCAACCCTGTCGTTCCGTTCCTAGGAGTTACCCTAAGGAATCAGGGATCATACAAATATAATTATCAAGAATAATCTCACAGCATCGTTTTTAATTGCAAAAACTGGAAGTGGCCTAAACTTTCAACAATAAGGATACTGGCTAAATATTATGGTATATTCCAACTACAGGGTAGCATTCTACCATGAAAAACCATGTTCCCCAAGAATATGTGCTGTAGGTCTGGTGAGCTGCTTCAAGTTCACTGTGAAGAGAAACTAAGACACAAACTGTTGTGACAGTGAGTGCTGTGTCCACACGCGTAGAAAAAGGATGCGTAGAAAAGCATGAATGCGTAGAGAAAGGATGAGGAGGCTATCCGTGGTTTTAACAATGAGTGTTTTTAGCTGGTAGCGTTATAGGTCATCTTAATTTTCTCTTTTTACTTTTTTGTTAGATTTTCTACAGTGAGCATATATAAATTTTCATAATGCAAAAAAGAAGCAATGCTTAGAAAAGAAAGTTTATCTTTCTCCCGAAACAATTAGAAAGCTTCGTTTGGGGGATGTCAGAAAGGCACTGGGGAAGCCAGGCTAGGATGGGGGTGCCAGCGAGGAGGCAGGCACGAAGGCCACAGTGTTGCAGACCTCCCAGGGCGGCCAGGCGCAGCCACCAGAAGGGAGGCGGCCAGAGTGCCTCTCCCGCAGGCACTGCTACTCAGGGAAGAGCCGGTGCGGTTTCTCACGGTCTTGGATTGTCATGGTCGCTCTCGGCACCTCCTGTACTGGAGTTTATGACAGCCTTCATTGAAGGAGCCTTAACATCCAGAAAGGGAGCTCACACTAAACCCATAAAATTGGTCATGGGAATTCTCAGAATAGGCCTAAGTATTCTTTTGTTTGAAACTTAGCTGTTGATGAGTTCTATGTGGCATTTTGGGTCCATGGCTATCCGTTTTTCCTTCTTTTCCAAGTCACAACTTGATGTACCATTCCCATAGCATGCAGAAGTCTCAGCATGAAATCAATACTTTAATGCAAAAACACCCCCAGACCTATAACAATCACCTTTAGTATGTGGATGCCACAGACTCGTGACCTCCTCTTGGGCTTTAAACATGTATGAACAGATGGTCCAGCGTCTAGAACAAAACTGTGTGTGTGCGTGTGTGTGTCCTCCCCCACCCTGCGCCCAAAGATGGCAAGGGGAACAGCTCCTCATCAGACAGGCCCGGCGGAGTCCGGGCGCATGGGCTCCAGCTGATGTGTGGCCGTGATAGTGAGCGAGTCCTCAAGGAGCCTTTTGTTATTTCCCCACAATATAAAACCTGACCGCGTTCTGCTAAGGACTTTTCTCTGTTTCTTTTCATACAAGAAAAGGTCAGGTCCTGGCCTGGTGCCCAGCTGCTTAGTGAGCAAGACGAAAGAAAGTCAAGAAAATTCCATTACGCCCATTGGGTTTGTTTGGAGCGATGTGGGAACCCAGACATGGGCGGCCTCCCCCCGCCCTCCCTCCGGCCCTGGTCCTCTTCTCTCTGAGGGATGCCTCCAAGTACCAAACAGACCCTAGATCTGTGTGTGTCCCAGCGCTTCCTAACCTCTCCCCTTTGAAATGGCACCCCCAGGCAGAGGTGAAAGCAGTGCTCGGCCACCTCCGGAGGCTGCTCAGGAGCCCGACCCTGTCGGCCAGGGATCTGCAGGCAGCAGCTGGAGAGCGCCCAGGCGGGGCCACCAGGCCGCTGGCCTGTGGGCGGCTGATCAGGCACCTCCTCCTGAACTTCCTGCTCTGGGCGCCTGCAGGCCACACAATTGCCTGGGAAGTCATCAGCCACGTAAGTGTCCCCTTTTTTAGCATTCGAATTTGCATTCGTATTTCGCCCAAGGGCCTGGCCTTTGAAGGGTGTGTGTCCAGGATGCTGTCCACACATGTGTGGCCAGTTAGGAGGTGGACAGCGGGGACGAACCCCGTAGCCTGCCCTGGCAACACCATGTCACAGAAGAGACAATGGAGGCTCAGAGGAAGGAGGTGACTTCTCCCAGGCGCAGGGGAAAAGCGAGGTCTCCTCTCTCCCAGCTGCTCTCCTTTCAGCGGTGCAGCCCCTCCTCCCCAGGATTCCCGAGGAACAGGCTGCGGGAGGATGCGCGGCCGTGCAGAGAAGCCATGGCTCACACACAGGCCGTCCCCAAGCCCGCGAGGCTCCCAAGGGCGGAGGGGGAGGAGCAGTCCCTGGCGTGGGCTCGCGCAGTGCTGTTTTAGAAAATGACCATAAAAGCACAGACAACAAGAGAAAAAAAACAGGCAAATTGAATTTCATCAAAATGAAAAGCTTTTCTGCATCAAAGACAACTCACAAATAAAGGAAAATATTTGGAAATCACATATCCGATAAGGGTTTGGTGTCTAAACTACATAGGGAATTCTTACAACTCAACACAGACAAACAGCCCATTTCAGAAATAGGTAATGGACTTGAATAGACATTTCTCCAAAGAAAATGTACAAACGGCCACTAAGCACATAAAAAAGTGCGCAATATCCTTTGCTGTGAGGGAAATGCAAACCAAAAGCACACCACTCACACCCACTAGGACGGCTGTGATCAACGAAATAGCCCAATGGAAACAACCCCAACGTCCATCAGCCAGTGACGGATACCGACACGTGGTCTGTACATGCCATGGACTACTCAGCCTTAAAAATGGCACTTTGACATGTGCTGAGACATGGCTATACCTTCAGGGCATCACGCTGAGTGAAATAAAAGGATAAATATTATATGATTCCACTTACACACAGTACCTAGAACAGGCAGATTCACAGAGACAACGTAGGGGTTTTCGGGGCTGGGGGGAGGGACAGGTAGTCAGTGTTTCGGGGGCGCAGTGCCTGTGTGGGGTAAGGGAAAGCTCTGGGAGTGGCTGGGGTGACAGTGTACAGCACTGAATGGACTCAAGCCGCTGGATAACACATTAAAAATGGTTAAAATAGCAAATTTTATGTTTATTTTACTATGATGAAAATGCTATTCAAAAAAAGTTTGGTTTTGCTTGTTATTGCCATAAATATACATAATGAAATGTATAGCTTGGTGAGTTTTCACAAACTGAAACGCACCGCAGCCAACAGTCAAGAAGGGCTGTTCCAGCGCCAGAGGTCCCGTGCCCTCTGGGAGGCTGTGTCTGAGCGTGAGCGTGAGCGTGAGCGTGAGCGTGAGCGTGAGCGTGAGCGTGAGCATGAGGGAGGTCACAGTGACAGGCTCTCCTCAGTCCCGTGGAACAGCCGTAGGAGTGGTGGGCCATCTCCCAGGAGCCCAGACAGAAGCCATCCCAGAGCCGGGCGTGGCCAAGAGCGCAAGAGGATGTGTTGTCGAGTGGGGGGTGCCATCTCCTCGGGGCTCCATCACGGTGACCTACTGTGTATTTCTGTGACATGCACGCCTCACTACTGGTGCTTCCAACCCTCTGGAGCTGAGAGAGAAGAAATGTCTACAGAGCTTGGCCAGGAGTCAGGTGTAATAGTCACTTTTCAGCCACTCCCTCAGTCAGGTGACCAAGGTCAACATCAACATGATAAGTGCCTCGTGTCCCACCCGGAGCTCACCCCACGCAGGCTCCCAGAGCCTGAGGACAGTCAGTGTGGAGGGCCAGGAAGCTGTCCCAGCTGCTGTGGCTGTTAACCGTTTGTTGGGGATTCTATATAAACTGACACCCACACACACACACATAGATTACTGTGATGTCAAGCAGACAGCTGCTCAGTGTGGCGTGTGTCTAAAAAGCCACAGTAAACTCTTTGTGCAGCTAAATTGTAAGATTCTTGCCCTGCCCCTTTTGCTGAAGTGACATTCTTGGGAAAACACTTATGGGCACCAACAACTCAATCTCTTGAGGCCATATTGAGCAAAACTAACAATTCCTGTGATTCCTACTTCTCTCACGGATCAGGTATTAAAACCTTAGGTGCCTTTGAAAAACAAACGGGTCCAGTCGCTGGCCAGGAAGGCCATTTATGAAGCTGCTCCTGTGAAAACAGGTGGCGTTTCCTTGCAGCGTCTTCTGATTCTCATACTAGTGAGTGAGCCTTTCAGCAAATCGAGCCCCAGTTCCTGGTGTGCCTTTTCCCCACCGCAAGTCACCCCAAAGCTGCACCAGCACCACCTCCGCCCGGCATCCCAGGAAACAGTGCCCGCGGCCTCGCGGGTGAGGGTGCGCCTGCGGAAATGCGCTCGCCCAGGCCAGCCCCCCGGCAGGCGAGCCCCGCTGGTGCCCTCGGAAATGGCTGACAGGGACACGCTGCCTCTGGCAGGACGGTGCAGCTGGCTCACTGCACAGAGGAGATGTGTCTGGAAGGGTTTAACTTGGCTCCTCTTGTCCTCATTCAGATGGCGCAGACTGAGGAGACAGCCTGGGAAACCATCGGCTTTCTTGACCAGACCTTGGACAGGTGGGATCGTCTTGGCACAGAGGCCCCGGCATCGAGACGACTGGCCCGGGAGCTCCTTACGGAGCTGCGCGCACGTCCAGCGCAGGCCCGTTGACCGAGCACCGCCCTGTGGGCCCAGGTGCGCGGGGCCAGGGATGCAGCGATGGGTTTCTAAGGCAAGGGTGCCCTCTGTGAGGAGTAACAGTCAGCCGGAACTACCCTGGCAAGCCCTGCTAGGAGAATTCCACACAAGGAGGAGACAGGCTCCTTCGCCCAGACTCAGTCAGGTCTCTTCACTGATGACTGGAGTTCACGCCTTCAGCATTCTCTTGACAAGTTCAGCTGGGTGTCAGAGAATCCCTGAGAAAAGGCTCGGATGGGAGAACCAATTTTTATTTCCTTTTTTCCCTTATCAAATAAAATGCACAGCTATTACCTACATGTTTCAAAGTCTTCGGACCAAGAAATGGGTCAGGAACCACTGTTCAGTTTAGAAAGTAATTCAGTCCCTGCCCCAGGTCTGTTAGAAGTCAGGTCATTGGGATTGGTGTTCCTCTGAATCCACAGGGATCCGAGATAAAGCCACTCTCCCTAGTTCTCTAGCAAGTAGAGTCCCTTGGGCACCCCGTGAGCAAGCCGCGGGGAAGGAGCGAGCGGGGACAGGGCCCACTGGTCCATGCCGCCTGCCGTGGAGAGCGGCCCTGCCGGCCACCGGCCACCGGCCACCGTGTCTGTTGCTAAACACTCGCTGCTGCCTCAGAGCCCCATTGCCGAGAGACGCTGCCGGAGGGCGAGGACGCATTCCAGAGACACCGGGAAAGGGTGTCAGCAGTTATCTTGTTAAGTGAACTGGAAATGGAAATTTCTAATAAAGGACTGGTAACCCCAAGGTTAATATTTATTTCACTTCAGTTAAAGATTGTTTCTTTTCAGGTTTATTCTTAACTTGTATCGACTGTATGCTCTTTTCTGTATCTACTGCGTGTCAAGTGAGTTAAGACTTATGTCCCGCCGTAACCGGTTTGGTTCAGCGGATGGAGCATTGGCCTATGGACTGAAAGGTCCCAGGTTCGATTCCGGTCAAGGGCATGTACCTTGGTTGTGGGCACATCCCCAGTAGGAGGTGTGCAGGAAGCAGCTGATCGATGTGTCTCTCTCATCGATGTTTATAACTCTCTATCCCTCTCCCTTCCGCTCTGTAAAAAAATTAATTTTAAAAAAAATATATATATATATATGGGACTTTTATGTCCACTTTGACTTGCGGATTGTCATCTCTGAAGCTCCCTCAGGCTTGGCTCCTGTTTGAGGTGCTGTCAGCATCAGTGGCTAAGTATTAATGAAGGGAGAGAGCAAAGGAAACATGACATTATTCAGGCTGATCAGTGAGGTGGCATAAGCCTGCTCCCTAGGAAGTTGCTGCATTCATAGGCACCCCAGGGGGTCGCAGCCTGGCCCAAAGGGGGATGCACACCCCACGCTCCCCTGTATAGGGAGGAAGGATCTGCTTTTCAATCTCCCCACCCACTCCCCAGACTGTGGGGGAGGTGAGCACATGCACCATGGGAGCCAGCACCGTGACCATAGAGGCCTGTGCGTCTAGCCTGGGAAAGGGATTGGTTTGGAGAGAGGACACAGAACCCCAGAATATCTAGGAAGCAGATTGGTTAGAGGGTGGGCCTACTGCGGTGATGGCGAATCTATGACACGCATGTCAGAGGTGACACGCGAACTCATTTTTTTGGTTGATTTTTCTTTGTTAAATGGCATTTAAATATATAAAATAAATATCAGAAATATAAGTCTTTGTCTTACTATGGTTGCAAATATCAAAAAGTTTCTGTATGTGACACGGCACCAGAGTTAAGTTAGGGTTTTTCAAAATGCTAACATGCCGAGCTCAAAAGGTTCGCCATCACTGGCCTAGTGCAAGCCCAGGAGAGCTTGAAAAGTTGATTGGTTATTTTGAAAAAGCTCCTGGTCCTCCCCAAACCCAAGATAATATAATCCCAGCTAACAAAAGAGCATCCTCCCTCCCCCTTTCTCCCTCTCCCCCGACTCCACCCCCCTGGTAATAGGCACTGGCCCCTTTGGTTTGCTTGTTCTCTCCATAGCAACCATGTGGCCCTAGCAGCTGCCTGGGGGCCCGAGCACAGCCCCAACCAGGAACAGAGCAAGCCAGCCAGGTCAGGACAGGGACACGGGCCGAACCAGTGGTGCACGTGGCTGGACATTGGCCCTATTCTGGTCTTGATGAAAACAAGATAGACTTTTTTCCACAGCAGGAAGGATGGAGATGACGCAGTGGGAACCCAGCGGCAGCCTTCTCTCTCCACCTCGATGACCCTTACCACTCAACCTCATCTTCCCGCGTGAGGCTCCCCAAATGCTTTTCTCGAGACTCCATGAAAGGAACTCTGAGTCAATTTTTTGGGGGTTCGACAGAGGTTGAGCTTTCAGAGTAAATACTTGTTTTGGTAGATGGATCCACGTGAAGATCTGGAAAATCCCAGTAACTTTTGACCTGAGCCTTCCTTTTGTTACAGTATGAAAGGTGTACTGTTAAAATATTTTATCACAACTGCCATCATCATCATCACTTTCACATGCTTCAGCTGGCGTTGACGCCTCTGGTGTGGACTCTGCCATGAAGGCTGTGACCAGCCTCTGTGGGCCAGTGTGGTCGCCACGAAGGGGCACCCCTGGAACTGGCCTCCCTCTGGGGGGTGCTTTCACGTGGACACCTATTCACACTGTATTTTTTTAATCTTTACTATTGAGAGTATAACAGATGTCCCCCTTTTCCCCCCTTTGCCCCCCTCCACCCAGTTCCCGCCCTGCCCCAGGCCTTCACCACCCTACTATCTGTGTCCACAGGTAAGATCTGTGGTTAATCTCTTCCCATCCCCCTCCCCCCTTCTCTGAGATTCGTCAGTCTGTTCCATGCCTCTGATTCTATTTTATTCATCAGTTTATTTTGTTCATAGATTTCTTGTTCATTTATCTTTAAGTTCAATTGTTGACCAGTATTTGTTACCATTTTTTATCTCTTCCCTTTCCTCCTCCAACTCCTCCTCTTCCTCCTCCTCCTCCTCCTCC